TAGTAAAGTGAAAAACACGTGCACCACGGACAACTGCAAATGCACGTATAGGTATAAAACGATTGCAACGGCAAGTCAGACATCCACAGTGATAAAAAACACACAAAAGAAATGCTACGACTCACAGTCGAACAACGTGAACGAGCCTTGGGTATGGTACAGATAGGAGCCACCCACGCCCATATTGCACGAACCTTCGGTTGCTCCCGTGTTACCGTTACCAACTTGATGCAACGTTACAGACAGACAGGGCGGACCGCTGACAGGCCAAGAACAGGCAGACACAGGGTGACCACGCCCCATGATGACCGGTACTTGCGTACCTTGCACCTCCGAAATCGCTTCCTGACAGTGACGTCATCGGCGACAAATGCCTTAGGTCACAGGGTTAGTCTACAGACAGTGGCCAGGAGACTCAGGGCTCATGGAATCAGGGCTTTTAGACCATACAGAGGACAGCTATTGACAGCGCAACATCGTCGTCTGCGATTGAGATAGGCCCGGACTGTACGACGTTGGCAACGACGTGACTGGCAGGGGGTTGTCTTCACTGACGAAAGTCGATTCTGTATGTTTAGGGCTGATGGAAGACAACGTGTTGACCGCCGAAGGGGTGAACGAACGGCGGCGTGTTGCGTGCAGGAGGTCGTACCATATGATGAAGGGAGTGTCATGGTGTGGGGAGGGATCTGTGGGCAGGAGAGGACACCGCTGGTCATCGTTGACGGAAACTTGACAGCTCAGCGGTACATGGATAACATTCTTCGCCCAGTTGTCCTACCATTTCTCCAACAGCAGCCACGTAGGTGTCATTTATCAGCATGACAACGCTAGAGCCCATACAGCCAGAATTGTAACTAACTTCCTCGCAGCAAACAACGTCAACGCCCTGCCGTGGCCTGCACGGTCACCCGACATGTCCCCCATAGAACACCTCTGGGACTTGATGGATCGTCGTGTTCGACAACAACACTCTCCAGCCAACCGGCAAGAACTGATCTTGGCCCTCCAAGAAGAAAGGCGTCAAATACCACGTGACTTCATCAGATGACTGACTTTTTCTGTGCGTCGAAGAGTTTTTGCGTGTATTGAGGCATTTGGTGGTCACACACGCTACTAATGACTTGTTATTGAACGTGAGCGATTGTTTATGTACTCTGCCTATTGTCCATTATTCTGAAAGCTCGAGTTTTGTACCACACCCGACTTTGCGGGGCTCTGACGTCATTCTCGGTCGCGGTATGATTGTCACTTTCAGTGTTGATTATGTTGATATATTGATCTTCTCAATACACTTTACTTCATGCATGTATGTTGTTGTTTTTATTTGAGCAAGAGTGATTTCACACTCTGGTAAAGTTTCTTTTGGACGTCAGTTTATTTTAATCATACACAATATATCTCATTTAATATCTTGAAGCTGCCAATGAAAGCATGAACTCAATTACTGTGCAAATAGAAGAGTTCATTTTGTATAAGTATAAGTATGAAGTTATCATTTTTTAACTTCAAAAACTACGATGTGCCCACTGATACCGTCATTATGTTGACGGTCTGATTGTTAACAACCATGAGTTGCAATATGTTATATGATTGCTTTGTATAACATCGGGTCATGCATGCTGTTCACTTTCATTGATACTGGGTTCTTCTTTGCGCAATAACCATCAGAGTATCTCACTGATTGTTTATTTGTTTTAAATTTAAGCAAGGTTTGTGCCTTGTGGAATTGTAGATGAAGAAACAAAAAAAAAAACAGTTCGCATTTACATAACTAAAGAAAATATCAAATTGAATTGAATCTGAATGCGTCATTGTGTCAATTTCTTGTCCTAAAAAGTACAGGTATTAGTATTCATATTCCAATTTGTATTTGTAACATTTTTTTTATTTTCTTGCATCGGTTGTACAATACATTCGTAGTCTGTTGATATTAGGCTGAGCCCCCATACATTTTTTTAAACATTGCATATTTCGCAATTTCGTGCCGTTTGGACAATATTCATACCAACAAATGTAATAAGTCAGTGGCAAAAGTAAATAAGTCAAATAAACAAAGATTGCGGATGCAGTAAAATTAAATCAGTACTTTAAAAAAATTGGGTATAGCTTCAGCGCACCCGCCAGGTCTGGGAGCAATACTGCTACAAACGTGCAATGTCTGACTCTTTTCCCATGTTGAAGCATTTTGAGAAAAGCTTACCTTGTACTTTCTTACCTTTTGTAAAACATAAGACATTAATTGCAACATATATCCCCGTGTTATGAGTTTTCGGATGCTGAATAAACATTCATGGTGTTTTCATATGAACAACTGTAAAACATCTCATTGACTTATAAAAGACAACGTTATCATAAAAACAAGCCAGTATCGGAATATTTCTGTGTGATGCCACACCCCTCGTTATAGTGCAAGTATTCGTGATAGAAAATGTATGATGTCCGAAAACTTAAGATTAGACAATAATAGTATTGTGTTATGAATAATAATAAAGGCATGTTTGATGCTGAAAGCTCTGATCGAAAACAGGACAATCCGCGACGGTTTATTTTCGGAGTATTTTCATTTAAATCTTTGATTTTATTTTTACGCGGAAGATGATTTTTCCAAGGACTACTGTTTTAAAAAACGCGATTTTCCTCGTTTCCGCGGATATTTCACATCATAACAATGTATACCGTTCAATTAAACCGTACAAACCAAATTCAACACTTTTAAGTAATAATGATTAGCCTTCATCCTCTGTGCAATCTGTTGGCTAATCTGCTATGCGCACGAGAGCATGTTACAAATCACAGACAGACAGACAGACAATAGTTGATTAACGTCTCACTCCTGTACATACATAAAACAGCTTTATACAACTTGACATAGATAAAATGTACAGAACCATTCAGTAGAATTATGAGAGACGAATTATCACAGAATTTATACATAAATGATATAAAGATAAGATCACATCGCGGCATCCCGTACAAACCAATCCAAGCTCAGCACAAATTTCAACCCTTTCAAGTGATTATAATAAAGAAGTCACCGCCAATGCAATCACCTCCGACTGCTAATTCGCTCTGTATATTTGACAATAAAGATAGATAGATAGATAAGATATTTTATTTGCGTGTCACGCAGTATAAAATACATACATTCAAAGTACAAGACATCACCCCTAAACTCAAAATACCCCAAATAGACACAACGCTAACTAACCAAATAAATAAACAAACCGACCCAAACATAGCTAAAACCACCACACTTTCTTACATACACGAAAATTGGCCAAATTGGTGTCACATATACACTGACGGATCTTCAGACCCGATCTCCAACCACACAGGTTTCGGAGTCCATACCACACAACCAGTTATATCCACACAATCTTACCGACTCCCTAACAACCAATCTATATTCACGGCCGAACTTATGGGCATGGCCTCAGCCCTGCATAACCAACAATCAAAAAACAACAAAAGAATCCTAATTCTCACTGACTCGCTTAGTGGGCTACAAGCCCTCCAAAACAAAAATACCAAAAAACGACCTAAATTAATAAACCAAATACTTAAAAGCTCCAACGACCTAACAAAAGCAGGCAAACAAATAACCTTCTTGTGGATCCCCGCCCACGTAGGAATTTACGGCAACGAAAGCGCCGATAAAGCAGCTAAATTATCTCTCAAAATACCAGAAATAAGCCTAAACCTACCCATCTCAAAATCAGAAATTAAAAGTGTAAACAAACAAAAAATAACCAAAAAATGGCATAATCAATATCAAAACTCAAATAGCCAAATCCAAAAAGTGCTCAGAAAACCACTAGCCAAACCTAAAATCCTACACCCCTCTAAAAAAATTGACAGATTAATTACAAAACTCCAAACAGGACACACGAACCTAAATAACCACCTAAAACAACTTAAAAGACACACCACAGGCAACTGCCCCCACTGCAAACAACCCGAAACCACAGAACACGCACTCATCCACTGCACCCACTACCAAACACACAGAACCACACTACAAACCAACCTCAATCTCAATAAGGTTCCTACTCTAGATGAAATACTAAACCCTCAAAATAAACTAGAAAACTTCAAGGCCCTAGGCGTATTCCTAATCAAAACAGGCCTAATTAAGCGCATCTAAAAACTAATTAATCTACCAATCCAAAATCCAATAAACATACAAACACCCACCTCACCCGGCTCCCTTAGTTCCCTCCTCCACCCACCTCGGCATTTATTCCAAATTTTAAAATTTCAAAAATCGATATAAGCAACCCCTAAAAGCCCCCTCTTGGGTTGCACACACCACTTTCAACCTTCTCGGAATACACTAAATGGCCTGGCCAGGCCGTGTGCGAAATACGCTGCAGTCGGAAAGCGCACGTTAAATCTTCTATATCAGTCAGTCAGTACAAGACAAAATATATAATATACCACCCGGCCGGTTGGCCTATGAGACACGAGAGATCAAAAATAGCTCAGTTTTATATAAAGAGATTATGCTAGTATCGTTTAGTGAGATACTTGTGGATCAGAAGTGCACTACTTACAATGCAAGTTGAAATTTTCTTCTTTTATACATAGCAATAGCAACTGCGGCTAGGGGAATAGCTAGACTGTCATTCTGCATAACATATATAAATTGGTCTTCTGGGGTTAAACTTCTTAGACAAGTATGTATTGGAGAAAACAAATGAGAATAGTCATATCGTAGATCAGAGTAGAATTCACATTCTGTGAGGAAATGTACTTCGTGTTCGACACACTGGCGGTCACATAACCTACATAAACGGAGGTGTAGTGGTGTCTTTGGACGGGAGTAGCGACCAACTTCAACCTCCAAAGGGAGAGAACTGCATATAGTCTACCCACATATCAAGCACCGCGCCAGGAAAAGTACCAGACGTCTCAATCGCTTACCCGTCAATATCATTGCAAGGAGAGTAAGGACTCCCGCTAACAGTGAGGAGTACTAATTAAACATCCCAATAATGTTACACGCCACTATATCAGTTTTATTTGAAACTTGCCAATAATATTGATAGGCATTTTGCACATACAAAACAATTATAGAACAATACCCAGCAGTTATCAACATACCCTTTATCAACATTTACAAAGAAACACAGTGCTCAACTTAAAATACTTCATTTTGCACATATACAATGATTAACCACGAATACATTACAATTACCTCCCTTTACTAATATATACAAAGAAAAACAATTTTAGATACATCATATATACAAAATTGTATATTTTTGTATATGTCATAAATACAAACTTGTATATTTTGTATATCTCATCATTCCAAACTTGTTTATGCTTTGGATATACAGTAAACTACGGTTATAACGAACTCAAAGGGACTACTTATTTTAGTTCGTTATAACCGTAATTCGTTATAAGCATATATACAGCATAACTACAGCATATAGTCGGGACTAAAAACTTAGTTCGTTATATCCGTTAGTTCGTTATAAGCGTGTTCGTTATAACCGTAGTTTACTGTACATTCTTTCCAAAGCATATACAAGCTTGTATATGTGGATTTTCTTTGCAGTGTTACATCCTGACATGATGCGAAGCTGATATTTCTTAGATCCTGACAACTGAGCGACATTTTGGATCTTGAAATTTGTGACAAAAGAGTAAATATGATACACAATGTGTAAATGAGTAACTGTGATATTTATCAGTAACAGAAAAGTGATAACAATAGTGATCATGTGACCGTCACCGAGTAATCATTCATCTGTTTTCACAGCCACCTACGAGACAGACAGGGCAGTTCCATGTTCATGCCGCATGGTAAAAGGAATAGCAAAACCTGAATTAGTTTCAAACTGCTGTACATATTTAATTGCGGCGTTAAACAAAAACAAACAAACGTGTCTAGTTGGAAATGAAAATAACCTGTAATATTGCCTATCGCTTGTGTAGGGAACAAAAAAAATAATGTGAAGTGTTTTAATCTTGGAATACTAATAAACACCAAGTCCACTTTCAATCTTCGAAGAAAGGGAAGCTTGGAACTAAGGGCTTCTAAATACGGCAGATTGATGAATGAGAAAATGATTACAGTTACTGTGCCTTTGAGTATATATGAAAGAAAAAAAATATTTTGGGTTTGAGTGAGCGGGGTTTTTCGCCACTTTTGACAGAATTTTACTGCGAATCAGCATTACTTGGGAGGAAAGCCCGATGTGATGTACACATGATGTGTATCACTTTGATTACTTCCACAAGTAAGGATATGGTACTGTGAAACCCAGGATAAATTGAATTTGGATTAGAGTAACAACAATTATGAAATATAAGAATAAATGAGGCCGAACAATTTACACTGCCTTTGTCGGTAGGGAATGCAACATACCTGCAACATCGTCAAGATTTGATGATATCATAAGAATCCCTTCGTCATGAAACTGACTCCCTCTCAGAGTTTGAATACAGACACTAATTTAGCACACAGCATAATTTGCTTTGGCACGACAGCTATGGTTGTGCTTTCGCAAAGTTAACAATTAATCTAGCAATTCGCTCCACTGGAATGTACAAACAGTAAAATTAGAAAAGTCTTCTGAAAGTCTGGCATTTGTTAGAACCATTACACGTTCTTCGTGGGTCTTAGTCTTCCTTTATAAGACCCCAGTAGGTAAAAGGCTGGTTGCCATATTTGTTTCTCTTGTCAAAGACTATTGCCTTCTTTTGAAGTGTCTCTTTATTCAGGTCCTCCGTGTGATACCTCCAATCGAATATTATTTTACCAAAGTCTACTTTTTGTACTCCAGCTTTTATTGCCAGCGCAGTACTAACGAAAACATCTTCCACATGCAGAGATTTGCTGTTCTTTGATACTTCATGCATCAAGTGCCAAACTCCGGGAGTCGTGATGTATGCATATCCTAAACAAAATGAAGGGTAGATATTGAAAGGATATTCTTTGTAAGAAATGTAGCATTTATTGGTTGAATCCCTATTTGGCTTACATCCTGTGATTATTGTGCAGTACATTGTTCTCTGGTCAAGGTGACCACCAGTAAGAAAGTCAACAACACGGTAAGGATTGATGAAAACATCGTCGTCCATCTTTAATATATATGAGGAATTACAGTGGCGTAAATACCAATCCATTGACATTACAGACTTCCGAGATAAGCTTCTGTAAATATCAGGAAAGTTTCCTTGGACAATATCTCCATAAAGCTTGCTCTCGTTGATGATTGAGTTTTGGATCCTGTCGTCATTAGTTGTTCCCAACATGAAAACATGGGCCAGTGTCCTGCCCTTGTATTTGGCCACTGAGCCGTATGTTTTTCGAATAAGTTCTCTCTTCATTGCATTCCCCGTAGCTGACTGTATTACTAATATCAAGAATACGCTTGTATTTGAACAAACACTGGGGTTAAGGGAGTACACAAACTGGTGCAGATTTATATACCGATCTCTGTGATCAGATGCGTTCATTGTAAAGAAGGCCATTATCTTCGGAAGCATATCTATCCCATTCAATAACGTTGGTGGCAAAGAATAGCCCATTGACTTGTGCTTGAAATGGTTAGTTATCTGTTTGGCTTCTTCATGAAATGGTTTCACATTTTTGGTAGACACCTCTGATTGCTTTAAACCAACTAATCCGGACGTTTTGTTATTCAAGCCTGTCTGTTGATGTTTGGGTTGTTGAGCTGTGTGGTCAGTTTGGTTTAAAGAGTCTTCCTTGGTCCTTGATAATCCAATTCCCCAATACAGACAAACAAATACGCCGATGCAATAGCACATGCATTTTAAATAACCTTTTAGTCCCATCGTTATTGATTTGAATGAATAAACCTGAAAAACAATTTTATAGGTCGTAAATCAAAGATAGGAATAAGATGAATTCAATCTCTTAAACAATTGAAGGTGTTTTAAAAGCATACCGAATCACCGCATTTTACAATCTCGTAGATATATTCTTACCATGCATGATGGAGGCATCAGTGACATAGAATGGTATACGATTCATTTCACTGACATCGTTACCGTATACTTATGCTTTGTATTTTCCTATCTGTATCGACTCGTGATGATCCCGGTTAGTATAGGTTTCAGCAACCCATGCTGGTCATTAAAGACCATTATGCATGTCGTAAGAGGCGACTAACGGGATCGGGTGGTCAGGCTCGCTGACTTGGTTGATGCATGACTCGATTATTTACAGGCCACCGTCATATAGCTGGAATATTGCTGAGTGCGGCGTTAAACAACAAACAAACAATCATATCTATACCAATCGAACATTAAGAACGCAAAGCTGTATGTAAACCTACTTACCAGTGCGCTGATTCTGTTCAAGCCTTACACTTGCTTGTGGTGATAGGTTTTTAGCTTGTCAAGCTAATGATTTCTGTTTGTGGCTCACGTATTATCTATCGGGTTATTTAGATCGCAGAACGCGCCTGGCCGTCGATTCCTGTTCGTGGTTTCCCCCTGTATCCTGTAATGCCTCTCTTTACTGGAAATAACAACGTTGTTTGATTACCTATATCAGACGGGACAGCTTGTTCGTATCGATCAAGAGCATGGCTCGGTAAGGTTTTTCAACATCACGAAATTACTAGATTGCACGTGTGCTACTCAATCGATGACACAAGCAGTGATTGTAGATACTTTTCCAAGTTTTTATTGTAGTATTCGAACTACTTTCCCTGCCTGTTGTGTCAAAGTCTTTTGTGCAAGATACCAAGAGCCAGAGGATGATATCTGCACACCTAGATATTTATAAGTAGTGGCTATGTCAATGACCGAATGTCCACTACTACAATTTTATTAATATCTAAGTTTGCGTCAATTCCTGAATACAAACACTTTGCTTTTTTTAATATTAATAGTCAATTTCAATTTATCCCAATATAAAGAAAGTTGGTCGTTTGTAGACCAAAAGCTGTTACATCTAACAAGATTATGTCCTCTGCTAACAATAAGTTCCCTCACAATTAAAAACTTCCACAATATCATTGATGAAATATGAGAACAAAAAGGCGAAAATTGGTATCCCTGTCTCTACACAAGAGTAGCAGTCGAAGCACAGTGTATATCCACCTTTCAGAGAGATATCTGTCTAAACATTCGACAATTAATACCACCTTTTCATAATGTAAAGACTAAGTCATTTCTGTACACAGATTCGACTGCTCCTTTCAAATCTAGAAAGGCACCATACAACCTGCCACGTTTTTTAGACAGATATTTACCAAATAAAAAAAGTATTAACAAAAAATATAGTTTCGGAAGTTTGGCAACGCTTTCTAAATCCTGCTTGTTCATTAGCTGTACCATGTTCAAGAGCTGACCACTTTGTTAGTCTATTACAAACAATTTTGCAAAAACTTTTGCCTGCTACTTCTAAAAGTGTAATATGTCTATAATTAGGGATCATTTTAATTACCTTTCTAATAAAGTGGTCCTCACTTTTGCTTCGAGTGTTCCGAAACTGTGTATATCCAGGAAAATAGAATACGATAATTATCAGGCCAGGTCTCTACTAGACCTATAATATTATATTTGTAGATAAAGCCACAAACAGAAGGTATACACAATTGTTATTTGAATCTTTCTATGTTCCAAGAGACACCAGTAATCCCATAATATTCATCACGCTTGCCATGGCCGGAATGCTACGCAACTGGTGAAGTTTCTTCTGGGTCATGAACATTTTCACTGGAGGGTGGTCCGGGTTTGAACCGTTTGAACTTGAGTCAATATGGGAGTATCTGGAATGGCTTCATCGGGTTTATATTGTTCGTTTTCTTCAGCTTGGTGTATCTCATCACAGAGAAAAATCGACTCTCAACATCACGCACTTTTTTTTTATCGTATGTGTATTACTACATAGATGAAGACACTACCGAACACTATTAAAACTGTATGTATTGACCAGGAATTTATGCTCTCTCTCTCTCTATCTATATATCTCTCTATCTATATATCTCTCTATCTATATATCTCTCTATCTATATATCTCTCTATCTATATATCTCTCTATCTATATAATCTCTCTATCTATATATCTCTCTATCTATATATCTCTCTATCTATATATATCTCTATCTCTCTCTATCTCTATATCTCTCTCTATCTCTATATCTCTCTCTATATCTCTCTCTATCTCTATATCTCTCTCTATCTCTATATCTCTCTCTATCTATATATCTCTCTCTATCTCTATATCTCTCTCTATCTCTATATCTCTCTATCTCTATATCTCTCTCTATCTCTATATCTCTATATCTCTCTCTATCTCTATATCTCTCTCTATCTCTATATCTCTCTCTATCTCTATATCTCTCTCTATCTCTATATCTCTCTCTATCTCTATATCTCTATATCTCTCTCTATCTCTATATCTCTCTCTATCTCTATATCTCTCTCTATCTCTATATCTCTATATCTCTCTCTATGTCTCTCTATCTCTATATCTCTCTCGTCTAAATTTATTAACTATTAATGTTGTCGCTATATGGCTGAAATATTGCCGATGTGACGTTAAATTTTAACTCACTCACGCACTCACTCACTCACTCACTCACTCTCTCTCTCTCGTAACGGTTTGCCTATAGTAACGTTATCTTCCACTTGAGTGAGTGAGTGAGTGAGTGAGTTAAGTCGTAAGTCACATCGGCAATATTTCAGCCATATCGCGACTATCAAGGTTAAAGATCATAAATACTTTGAAACGTATAAAAAACGGCCAACGACGGGCTGTAAAATAACTAGACTTATCACAAAGAAATATTTAAAACTAGTATTGAATCATAAAATGGATATTACGATACATAACAATACATTATAAAAACAGGCTATTGATTTCCAACAACTGAAGGTAGATCAAGGTAATTTATAAAACAACATATATTTTACGGTTAAAGGATGTGGTAAGAATAAATCTACTTTGAATGACTTGGTCTTACATATCCTCTCCAGGGGACAATAATTTGATACTACTTCAACCCCCTTCGAGGATACAGCCACTAGCAATCTCAGTTATCACTTTTATTCTGCCAATCATAAAAACACTATATTATATACACAACATATTAATCAAAATGTCTGGAACAATTCAATTTCTTTTAAAAAACCAATAACTTAATGAGAACTGATATTAAAAAGATCCTTCATAGATATAACCTTGAAATGTTTATCCCTTGTGATGGAAAAATCAACACAGTCAAGCAGGACATGCTTGACCGTGATTCTTTCATCACAAGGGATGCAGAACAGAGGATCCTCACCTTTCAACAAATATTCGTTTGTGTAGCGCGAATTGCCAATGCGACATCGTCTTAATACGACCTCTTCAAAACTGGACTGACAATCGAAGTAGGTGTAACCAATAGTGGGTTTAATTTCATGTAATTTATTGTCTACTTGGGTGTCCCACTTCTTCTGCATTAGGGGGTACGGGTGGCCCAGTCGTCTAAGGCGCCGCGATTCGCTTAGCAGAGTTGCGTCCCTTGGGCACGCCAGAAACCTATGATTGTGGGTTCGAATCCCGGTTCGCCCCGATTATGTTTCTAGGTTTGTCAGCACCATACCCGTGCTCGTGGGTTTCACCGAAGTGGTAAACGTCTGAGACCTGCATCACTTCGGCCTTTTCTCCCACATTAAGCTGACACGCCGCGATATAACTGGAATACTGTTAAAAGCGGCGTTAATCCCAACTCACTCACTCACTCTCTCTTCTGCATTAAATCTCTGATGTAACGTCTAATAACAGGTTTATAATCACTATAGGGTATAAGAAGTCGTGTCACAGTTTGTTGAGTGCAGGTTTGCAGCGGCATTGGCCATTGTGTTCCCAATAATACCAACATGGCTGGGTAACCAACAAAAGACGATGTCGCATAGGCCAGTAGCAAGAACATTTAATAATTCAATAATTTCAATTAAAAGTGGATGTTTACAAGACTGATTTTTAATTGCCTGAAGACAAGAAAGAGAATCTGAAAATATAATATATTGCTTATGTTTGGATTGTTTACTTATGTACTCTAATGCTGTTAATATGGCCTTGGATTCGGCCGTAAAAATGGATCAGTTATCTGGAAGTCTTGACGATATAGTCCTGGATCCAATGATTGTGCCGCTGGCAACTGTGCCACCATCTTTAGATCCATCGGTTATTATAGATTTATAAGTATCATAATTGTTTCTTAACTGAATATAACTGATAAATAAGTTGATTTGTTTCAGATTTCTTCAATTTAGTTAATGTTAGATCCACCTCTGGCTTCACTAACTGCCATGGTGGAGAAGACAAAAGATGGGTTGGGGCTGTATTTTTAAGTGTTATTTTAGCAGACAGACAGACAGACAGACAATAGTTTATTAACGTCTCATTCCTGTACATACATAAAACAGCTTTATACAACTTGACATAGATAAAATGTACAGAACCATTCAGTAGAATTATGAGAGACGAATTATCACAGAATTTATACATAAATGATATAAAGATATATAGTAAAAGGTTATCCATATAAAAGATGTTTTCTACGATTAAGAATTAAAAAGCAGACTTTGGCAAGTATAAAACACACACTGGAGTCACTGAAAATAAAACAAAGTTTGTCGACATCAGGCATATCTAAAACATTATAAGATTTAGCAATACATTCATTAAAAAGAGTTGCCCTGATATCATCATATAATGCGCAGTGAAACAAAACTAGACCTCGTCTTCTACGCTGTCATTACAGTGAAAACATCTTCTATTATTGACAGGTACACCTTCGTATCGACCGGTTTCCACTGGAATAGGAGCCACTCCACATCTAAACTTGGCTAGTGCCGATCTATAGTTTCTGGGCATCTTATTTGAAACATAGTATTCTGTCCCATATACTTGTTTGTAACATCGATACATTCTCAATTTATTAAGCCCATTTCGCCCCTCTTCCTTTCTTAACATATCGCTCCAACGGGTAACATATTCATTTTTACACCATTGTTCCACCTGTGTACAAACAGAAAATTTATCAATAAAACCTGTAGCGTTTAATATATGTCCTAAATCCATATTATTAAACTTCTTTCTTACCCTACCATTCCATTTTTTACAACCATTTACAGCGTATCTATCAGCCCAGATAAACACATGTTTGTTTAACCTACTAGACATATTCTTAAGGCGACACCATTGTCTTGCTACACTTTTCCACTGTCTGACAACAGGCGGTATCCATCCCATGTCCCCATTTATAGCGACGTAAGGGGCGTATTTGCCGAGTCCCAAATAAAATCTAATGGCTCTATGGTGTACAGCATTTATTGCTGACACATCATAATTACCCCAGATAGCCGCCCCGTAGTCAAGAACAGACCACACCATACTATCGTACAATTTGGAATAGGTTTGGAAATGCATACCGCCTATTGTCTTAACTTTGGATATCAACAGACCCAAAGCCCTATTAGCAGACTTCGCTGCTGCACGTGCCATTGCAGTAA